TATTGCAGTGGATTTTCTGGGTTGGGCCGTTTGTGGGAGCATTGGCAGCGGCGGCCTACCACCAATACATCCTGAGGGCTGCCGCCATTAAGGCCTTGGGTTCATTCAGAAGCAACCCAACAAATTAAGCCCACGAAAAGAATGATGAATGACCCAAGTGTGAAGAAAAAATATGAATTGAATTGTGTTCTCATTATTATCATTATCATTATGTATGTGAATTATTTATTGCTACTATTTGTTATGTTTGTTGGCTTTGTGTAATGAGAAGAGAATGTTTAATTATGAAGCTTTATTTTGTTGCCTTAATTTCTACACTTCATCCTCGTTTTCCTTTGTGTATTATTTTCGTTTCCCTTTATGTGTTAGCCAAATTAGCTAGTTTGTAATTTTTTTTACTACATTTCTATGAGTGTGTTTGATTAAATGGTGATTTTTTTTACTACATTCTACGAATGTGTTTGATTAAATGGTGATTTTTTTTACTACATTCTACGAGTGTGTTTGATTAAATGGTGAAAAAATCAATGAATTTTCATTTTTTTTTTGGTACAATGAAAGACCTTGAGATATCGAATTACACACGTTCTATGAGTAGGTAACACCAATGAGATCGTGTTTTAGCCACGGACACACCCCGTCTGGTGGAACGTTAAAGAAGTGATACCCCAAGAGCCCATCCGCTGTGAAGGAAGCCAAATGATCGGATGCAAAATTCGCCTCACATAAAACATGCTTCACCTTGATCAACCACGATTGACTGAGAAGCTCTCTTTCATTTTTCATTGACCTCGTTATGATTTTCCCAACATTCACCACGTTGGGAAACTCCTTTTTACACAACTAATTTACTGTAGTAGATGGTGAATTTTTGTGCCTTAATTTTCAAACCTCCAATAACTTTCATGGTAAATAAAAGGTTTATTTGTCATGTTATGGGTAAAGGAACAGTAAAATATTCTAGCTAGCCTAATATGGCTATAATAAGTAGTGTCTGTTGGCACCTACAGGAAAATGACATGAGAGAGCCATTGCCAATGGGGGCTGACAGCTGCTTGTGCTTTGCCTTTATTTTGGCTGTAGTGTGGTCCATACAATAATTTTCATTTCATATGTTTGGCTTCATTCAATTTCAATTACTATCCATATAATTTGAATCTAATACATTACACTAATAATGATTAATAAACTTGTTTTGGTGATTTAAATTTAGTTCATTTTTTGGTCCTGTTTAATTGATTTTGAAAAAGGGATATGGTTAGTTAGTGAGATTTTTGAATTTATATCGAAATAGTATTTAACATCAAATAATTGAAACTGATTTGATGTAAAAATAAGAGAGATAATGTGAGGTAATGGTTAGTTCGAATTATGCGAAATAGATAAATGTTGAATTAAAGCTGATCTAATATTTATAAAAATGATTTATTAGTATTATTTTATTCTATTGATAATATTGAAGATAATCTGAGTTGTTTTAAAATTGAATTAGATTCAAGTTAAAAAAAAATTAATTGATTAAAAATGATTGATTTTTTTTTTTTTAAATCTTGTATGCATGATCCAAGCATGATAACTTCTTAACTTGTTTGATTTAGATTTTTTTTTTTTGAAAAAAAAAAGGTATTTGCCCATCAATCAAACTTCCAAAAAGAAGAAAAATAATAAATATAAAAGTTGCAAAGAAGAACAATGGTGAGATCCTATTTTTTATTTCCTCTTTTCTTGGTCCTATGACAAGCCTACGTGGCACTAAAGATGAGGTCGAGGTATCCCTCCCTATATATTAATTCAAAACGTGTTGAGCCTAAGTGACAACTTTTCATGTTTCGGATGCTGATATAACAAAAATCTATGCTTCGTGATGTTTTTATATTATTTTTGCTCTGGAGTTAGGTTTGGTATTAGACATCAATAACTTTCATCATATATTTCTTAACTCAACACCCATATTGTACATATTGTACATGAGTATTGTACTATTTCTATCTATATCTAAGAGCTTTAGACAAAATAAACAAACAAACATCTCAAAAGCTACTGAAATTTCTGGTGGGAAATTGATTGAAGCTTTTCCCTCTTTACACCTAAAGCGGGCCAACATACTAAAAGAGTGGATCAAAAGGAATAAGGGGAAAAAAAAAAAAGAGAGAGCAATAATAAAGACAACTAAGAATATTATATCTGTATGTCTTTTAACAGACATCAAATCAAAACATTAGCCCACAGCATTAACCATTTTTCATTAAGGCCACAGATAAACAATGGTTCAACTTGATATCAATTGTAAATGGCCCATTTGTTACAAGGGAAGCACACAAGGGGAAGATGAAATAACCATTCTATCGAGAAAACCGGAAAAAAAAGGATAAAGATTTCACAATTCTTACAAAAAGTTCCGTAAAACTTAAAGGACATAAACATGGGTATACATGTTAACAGTGTTACCTTAATCCGGCAGAGCAGTTCCCCTCTCAAGATTGTTCTTGATCTCGAGCGTGTACTTGCCAAAAGCACGCTCGATCTTCTTATTGAAATGTTCGTTTCGGTCGTTGATAGAGTCGATATCCTTTTCTTCACGGAACTTTCTCCTTCGGCTAAAGGACCTTGACTTTTCCTCCCGATCCTTGAGCTCTTTGACCATGAGATCAACCTTATCCTCTGATATCTTTGGAGCCTGTTAAAGAATCCCAATAATAAGGGGATTAAGGGTGTGACTGGATATGGATTTAATCGGTTGTTTTTCAATCATAGTTCATCTTGAAAAAGAAGTGGTATGACTAGTTGTAAGTGCATATATTAAAATAATATTTTTGTAACTGAACCCCAAGATAATGGGTCGCGTGCTTGGAAAAGGTTAGTTGTTAGTGGGTATATTAAAATAATATATAAAATAAAATGATTAAAATTAAATTGATGTAAAAGTAAGAGAGAGAAGATGTGATGTGATGGTTAGTTAAAATTATGTGAGTAGATGAATAGTGAATTAAGGTTGATGTGGTGTGTATAAATGATTGATTGATATTATTTAATTATATTGATAATATTGATGATAGTGGGGTTGAGTTAAAGTTGAGTTAAAAAAAATGATTGAGTTAAAATGTGAGAAATTTTTTGAAAATTCTTATAAACAAACATGCTCTTACTTTTCCATATTGAAGACTTGAAGCCTCACGGTAGAATTCTGGATCTGCTTCTTTCATTTTGTTGTACTCCTCGAGGTTTACGTTGATATTCTTTGTTCTTTTCTTATATGCGTTATATAATGTTCTTTGATTGAAAACTGCAAGAAAACAATGTCTGAGTGCATGATAACAAAGTGCAAAACACAACACAGAAAGGCCAAAAAAGAAACCCTAAATGAATCTAAGCTCGAAAATTCCCACAAAGTAGAAATAACATTACTTAGTACATCAAAAGGTCTTCCACAGTTAGAAATAACATGTAAGAGGCTCAGCAAGCATGCATTCGAACTTTCACACTCATTCATGAAATTGCAACTACCGGCTACGAGACCATTTTAGTTAAATCATATACTAACAGTTCAGTGTTCATAGCGGTTAATGTCTGAAATACTGAGTAACTCGAAAACTTGCGTGATATCCAAATTGTATCATGAGACTCTAAGGTGTTTCACAATCAATAACATCAAAAGAAAAAACAGCTAGTAACAAAAAACAATTTGAACAAAAATTCAGATGCATAATTGGTCAACTGAATATATTTAATTATATTCAATAATTTAAGAGTGGCATGCACCGGATTTGTAGATAACACGAACACACAAAGAATTGTAAGTAGTCTTAAAACATGGGGAAAAAAATGTAACTGAACTACTAAAGAATATTAGGATAATAGCAATAGAAATTTAAAAAGAGCAGTCACTCACCATCCCAACCAGCAGGAGCAGGCTCTTTCTCCCATTTCTTGTACTTCGACTCGGCCATCTCTTGTGTATCCAGCATATATGCCTTGCTCATATCTAATCCATTGGCATCCAAAAGCCTCCCGATTTTCTTCTTCCTTTCCTCAAGCCATTTTTGCTTGGAAATTCCTCTAGGTTCTGTTGGGGCTTCGGACTTCTTCTTTTCGGCAACCATCGCAGTCTGATTGGCCTTCCTTGCCTCGTTCTACATGCATAAGAAGGAAATAATATAAACGTTACATCCAGCAGTCCACAGTGAAGAAAGTTTATCATTTGTTGCGGACTAAGAAAATTGGTGCAGATATTATGAGGACTTCTTACCATCTTTAATCTCAGCTCAAACAACTTCTTTTGCCTGCCCGTAAGATTGGGCATACTTTTGGCCGGGTCATCCTCACCCTCACTACCAATTTCCTTACCAGAACAATCCTCGCCGTCATTACTTATAACATTCACGGCTTTTACTTGGTCAGGGGCAGTAATTTTATCCAACCGTAAATTATCATCAACAGCTAGCACACCTACTAATACAGTAAATAAATCAATAACATCACAAGCCAGTAAAATCAGTACTAAACACTCCCATCCAAATACCTCATATATCATATATGCATAAATTTATGAGACCATGGCACTAACAAGAGAATAAATGGGAACAATCTCACACCGAGTTAACTTTTTCTCGCCCGATCTGAACGCACAAGAGTCTATTACCCTTCTTCTCCAGTTCTCGACACAATCTCTCTAACCTATTGTGATAAAAAAATTCCGAAGTTTTCTTAGTGATGGACTAAGCTCACTTCAAAGATGAGAACTTTAATCAATTTTCCACTAACCACCTGACCCAATTCAATCATCATCATCATATATATCTACACGAAATCATTCGACCACGCGTTTCAAGTATCAACTCATGTCTTCCAACAATAATATCTCCTCAAACCTAATATAAGCTTAAGGACAAGACAAATTTGAAGAAGAGTAACAAAAACAGCAAGAAACCAACCTGCGCCTTGTTTATCCACCGTTTTCTTCGCTTCAGCAATAATCTTGAAGCAATAATCACTGCATTCGTGATATGGGTTCGACGCATTCCTGCAGTCCGGATGAACCCTCCCTTCTTCAGCCATAGAATTTTCCCAAAAAATCAATGTTCTCCGAACAGAACCAAATTCAAATCCCTAAACAAGATAACACGAACAAATTCATACTAATTTAACCCTATCTAAACCATTAATTCAAAATAAATTGCAGGTACATGAAGCTAAAAGGTGTTAATAATACCTGTAAATTCTACGGACGAGCTGAGAGCGGGAGATTTAGGGCTACCAAGAGAGGAAGAAAAGAAGCAAATTGGGGATTTTTATTTTTATTTTTCCATAATTTTTTTTATAGGAACGATTTTTTGGGGAACACTTACATTGGGTTATGAAGATACGAGCCCACGACAAAAGTGGAGGGGACTCCAATTATTATAGGCCCAATAAAGCCCAAGAAGCAAATTATAAAGAGCCCTAAGCCGTCAACGACCCATTCGTACACTATAGTCACGACTCACGAGGGACATTACAATATCCAATGTTACTTAAAAATAAATTAAATTTAAAATTTTAAAAATATAAATAAAATTTAAATATTATATTTTTGAAGTAAAAGAATTAAGGGGAACTTCTTAAAAAATCCCCAAACCACTTTTTCATTTCCTCCTCAGTCCCCACACAAATTTTTTTCCTCTATACTCCCTACCCTCTTAATTATCTTCCTTTTAACTCCCTCTTCTTAAAATAAATCAAAAATAAATTAACTTATTGCATCACCCCACTACCAAACTAACTTTACTTATTATTTTATTATTTCTCTCTCTTTCCACTACAATCTACCTTAATTTTTTATTATTTTTTTCTCTCTCTCTTTCTATATATCTGTTTATTATTTTCTTTTTATTATCTTTTACTATTTATCTCTCATAATACTAATTTTTCTTAATTTTTTATTAATTAATATAAATTTATTTTTATATATACTATCCAAATAAAAAAATTATATTTTAATAATCTTTATTTCATATAAATCTATATTATACTAAATCTATAAATCGATAATTTTGTCTTTCAAATTTATAAAGTAATTCTCTAAAATTAAATTTTAAATTTTATTAAAAAATATTTATTCAAAGATCAATCTAATTTTCAGGAGGAATATATATCAACTAGTACGATACTCGTGTGCTATACGGGTACGTAAATATATTAATATTTGTACAATAGAAAAACTAAAATAAAATTTATATTGTAAATTTATGTATATGAATAACTAACAAAGTAATAATTAATTCAAAATGGGGTCCGTATTTTTCACTTAATTTTCTTATACTATTTAAAATATATAATAAAACGCATTAAAATGATTATGGTGAATTACTGAATTTAGATTTTTATTATTTTTGTTATAAAATAAATTTATGTTGTATTTATATTTTTTAAATTATTTTTTTAACAAATATAGTTTTATTTATAATGATAGATGTAATTATTTTTTATTTTATATATGCAATATGGATGTCAAATCGAAGATCATTAAAATATGATTATTTTGAGATATAATATACAAAAAATAAAATAAAATTAAAAAAATTATAAAGATCTAAAAATAAAAAGAATACATATTTATTATAATAATTATTATATGAATTAAATAAGAAAGAGTAAGAGTAGTATATGATAACTTGAGAAAAAAAATCTAAAAGTGATTTATAACAAAGTGATTTGTAAAATTATCATGTACACGTGTTGAACATGACCACTTGTTGAACATGTACACGGGTCAATACAAAGTGATTTATAAAATTATCATTAATATCTTATGACAAGTTATTATAAAAATATGCTAAAAATTGAGAATTATAAATTCGATTTTTATAAATTGAGAATTTGGAGTAGTCATGTATGATGATTCTATAATGAAATGAAGTATATTAGTAGTGTTTTCTCATTAATATGTCGAGTTCATGACCAATTTGCGATTAAAGTAAATTAAAAACATTTTAAATCTCATGGAAACTAATGTGAGAGTGATTATGGGTCATATAAACATCATTTGAGACTGAAATTCAGTTTTTTTATGTGTTCATTACATGTGGTATTAAAGACCCAATATCAGGTACTACAATGTTTAGTATAGAATTGATGGGCAAGGGATAACCGAGTTACCCGACTCGGGTCG